CTGGCTTTATCAAGAAGTCATCAGGATTTAGACTAGAGACTGTGACCCACACATGTAACAGCAAAACTCATACCCTCCATGATCCTGGCACAGATTTCAGCTCCTACTCCAAATTGTGGCCAACCTCCTTCTACAGTTATTAGATGGTTTGTCTTCACAATGCTGGCTTCCACTGCTTCAATATCCATTGGTCGGATGGTACGCATGTTTATAACCTGGGGAGAAAGACTCTGAGTTTTGCTACGATCTAAGCCTGTCAGTTACTACTTAATAAAAGGATTACAGTGTCCTTTAGCACTTTCATCTATTCTCACTGAAGACAAGACCTAACATTAATAACATTTCTAACTTTTTATTCTGGCAGAGACTGTGAGGAACAGTTTCTGATGACTCCTGGAAAATCCTTGATAGGTGAGTCTTGCTATATCAAGATCCAGCCATACTAACACACACTGTCATTGTTCTGGTTCCCATACAGCTGGGTCACTCCCAAAATCATCAGTAGTTCTGCCTTAATTGTGTGATGAAAAGGTCAGATGCAGAACCATGAAATGCCCATGGTGTTAAGGCACTTAAAAGACTTTTTTCCGCACTTCAGGAAGAGAGAAAAGCAACAGAAACCTCACCCACCTCACACTCTACACCTTCTTTGGCAAGTACAGAAGCTGCTTCCATACAGTGTCCAACAAGTCTTGAGTGTGACACTAATGTAATATGAGTTCCTAAAACAGAAACAAGGGTTAAAAAATAACCCCTTAAGAAGCTGTTTTTCTAGACCTCAAGCTCCTTTCAAGGTAAAGTTAGGCGTTCCTTGGAAATTTAAGTTCCTTAGATTTATTTAAAATCCTCACTATTCTGTGCCCATACACAGCATAAAGAATGGCAACAGCAGGACTCTACTAACACACGTATTTTATCCTTTAATTCAGGGAACTGGAGAGACTACTTAATAGTTTTCAGATTCTCCTTTTCAAACATTCATATAATTCAGTGGTAAACGATGAACAAAGGGACAGAAACGCTACAATGATCTCTTTGCATTCTTGACAAAAATTACATACTAAGGTGAGGACAAGAGGCCTTTCAGCCATCATGGAACAAATCCTTTGGAAGGTTACAGTTTTAGGTAAAATACAGAGAATAAGGTGATCTTTCTTTATATGGGCAACATACAATAAAGCACTCTACTGGATAAAGTAATATTTCAACACAACATTTGAAATACTTCTCTCTCATAAAAACTGTATTCTGAATAGCTATGAGGTTAAAAAAGGTCCCCAGGCAGTTCAGTTAACAAGGAAATAAACTATTCTCAGCTTACCTTGCCTTTCTATTTTAGCTTTTCCAATTGGAATAACGAAGTCCTTTGACTGTGCCTGCTCAGACAGTTCAAAAGGAACACCATACAGCAACTCATTTTCCAGCATCACAACTAGAAGAAAACATATTTGGATTAATGTATATGTCTGCAGGCACGGGACTGTCCTGACACTAACAGTACTGCAGCAGACTTACTCACTGTGCTAAACCCATTGGGCAAGAAGGACTTGAGCATGTTTGCAGAAGCAATTAAAATAAATTACAGTCTTTACTTCATACAATCACAGACTGGTTTGGGCTGTAAGGACCTTAAAGCACATCCAGTTCCACCCCCCCACCATAGGCAGGTTGCTCCAAGCCCCATTCAACCTGGCCTTGAACACTGCCAGGGACGGACCAGCCGCAACCTCTCTGGGCACCCTGTGCCAGCACCTCAGCACCCTCACAGGGAAGCACATCTGCCTAAGAGCTCATCTCAGCCCGGTTAAAGCCATTCCCCTTGTCCAAAGTCCCTCTCCAGGTTTCTTGTAGTAGGCTGATTTTAAAAAATTGTCTACAATGAGATCAGGTGTTTAACTCTGGTACATGATGGCAGAATCACCCATTTTAGAAAGGTCTTACATTTTGCATGTATGTTTGTGAAAAATAAAGATGGAGGTTGCCCTGCTTTTAACGACATTCTGAATTTATCATCTGAACACTGTGTAAGCAGAAATTCCTCCTGATTTATCCTTTTTAACCCCTTTACAATAGGTTCATAAGTGTTTCTAACCTTCCTGACTGGTACCAAACCAGCACTAAAGATACAGAGCTGTGGCAACAGCACAAAGTTAATCTACTGCTAATAAAGGAAGTGACTGTTAGGAAAATCATAAATACTTCTGTGCCTAAGTACCCTGAACCTGAGTGGTTTAGGGTTTAATAATCTTGTTTTGTTTTAAATAGGGCAGGAGGGGAAACCTGACATTTTCTTTCAGGATCAGGTGCGAGGTATTACCACGATCTGCCTGTATTCACCTGGATTATCGTCCCGGATGGCTGCTTTCAGCAGACCTTTGGCATCTTCTGCGCTCCAAGGACTAACAACTTTCAGTCCCGGGCAGTGCCCGTACCAAGCAGCAAAGCACTGGGAGTGCTGGGCAGCCACTCCAGCTGATGCCCCGTTGGGGCCCCGGAAGACAATGGGAACACCGATTAATCCTGCAGACATGTAACAGGTCTTGGCAGCTGAGTTTATGACCTGATCAATCGCTTGCATGGAGAAGTTGAATGTCATGAATTCACACACCGGTCTCAATCCCGCCTGTTAAATATATTTATGTGTATTAGTATGCTTTAACATAGAAATAGGTTTACTTTTTTAAATTGCAAGTAGAGAAATGCACGTTTACAAACCATAGCAGCACCAACAGCAATTCCTGCGAAGCCCATCTGAAAGAGAAGGAAACCAAAGGGGTAAGTGCTGGGGGAACAACTGAAGGCAGCGCCAGGGTAGGAGACAGGAGAGTCTCACCTCCGAGATCGGAGTGTCGATCACCCTCTTGTCCCCGTACTTCTTCCAGAGGCCCCTCGAGATCTGGAAGGAGAGAGCAGTCAGCGCCCGCCCGAGGCCCTTTCACGGCTTGGTAACGGTATCAACGTACCTTGTAGGCGCCATCGTACTGGGCCACCTCCTCGCCGAGCAGGAAGACGCGCTCGTCCCTCTCCAGCTCCTCATCCAGCGCCTGGTTCAGTGCATCCCGCACAGTCACCTGTGAGACAGTGGAGCCGGTGGGGCAAGGCCTCGCCTCCCCTGAGGGGGACACGAGCCCGTTTCCCCCAGCTCCCTCTTTCGAGCTCGCTGTTACCTGTATGGCGGCTGGCGCGGAGAGACGCAGCCCCCTGCGATGCTGGAGCAAGCGCCCGCCGGTGCAGCCGTGCGGCGGGATGCGGGTGAGGCGGGGTCCCAGCGGGGCCAGGTGCCGCAATACCGCCACAGCCGCCGCCATCTTGCCCGTGTCCTCTAGCGCCACCGGACCGTCGGCGCCGCCGGTGACGCCGAGGCCCCGCCCCGCGCGGCCTGGCGAGCCGTCTCGCCCCGCCCACCCAGAGCTCTCGCGAGAACACCCGGCGCGGTGTTTAAACGCCACTTCCGGGTCCCTTCGGCAGTGGTAGTAGTGGTAGCTGCGCTCGGCTGGGACCGCCGTGCGCCCCACCTGCGCTGAGGAGGGAGCTGCATGGCCCGGGGTTGAGCTCCCCGCCCTCGGCCACCGCTTCGCCTTTTAGCGACACGGCTGCTCGGGCCAGGCGGCTCCCACCCCGCTTGGGGAGCCGGTCCGGCGGCCTTACGGGAGCGGTGCTTCGGTGCTCCGCGGCCCGGCGGCGCCCGCCCCTCGCCCCACAAACGTGAGGTGGTGCGGCCTTTGTGGGGCGTGGCTTGGTCAGGACACGCCCTCGCCCCTGCCTGCCGGCGTTGGCGGCTCCGCTTTGCTCTCGTTTTCCGCTGTCCCCGCCGTAGCCGGCCTCTGCCTCAGCGACGGGAGCTGCTCCCGTGAGTGCCGGGCAGGGCCGCCGCAGGACTGGGGGGCGCGGGGCCGGGCGCCCCGGGAGGCGGGCAACGCTTTAGGGCGGGACGGCCCCATCCCGGGAGGGTGTGAGGTGCAGGGCATGGGTTTGGGCTCCCGGGGTCTTTTCGGTGCCGGGGAAGGGCTACGGGGTGGGATACCGGGGACCCGATGTTAGGGTAGGGGTGGGACAGCTGGTGCGTGGGTCCTGCATCTAGTTGGGGTGGGGGAAGGAGCTGGGGTGCGAGACAGCGTACGCGGCGATCTCTTGTCAGGGAGGGTGCAGGTATGTGGGTCTTGTCCCACGCAAAGAGGGGAATGGGTTCTTTTGCTGTACCGGGGAGAGGAGGCAGAGCTGGGACACTGTTGCGGGGTGGGGAGAAGGCTGTGGGCTTATGGGTCACTTGCAGGGGGGAGGTAAAATGTCTGGGTTCATTTCCAGCATCTTTGCTGAATCATTGTGATTTTGGGGAGAGTTCCTCCACCATGAGCTCGCTGGTTCCTCTGTGATGGAAATTAGTGCTTCCCATCTCCTGTTGAAGACCTGGACCCCTCTTTGGCCTGGGCTCACAGGAGGGACTTCTGCCCCTATCTTGCTGCATTGCTCTTCGATCCATGCTCATGCTGAGCCCCACTGGTGTGGGCAGGGAGGCTTGGTGTTTCTGACACTTGCCTTCCGCTAGAACTGTTTGGAGACATATTTGCACACAGAACCAACTAGTGGTTAGTTCCTAAGAAGCAAGATACATGGGTAAAACCCAACTGCTGTGAGGGATGCTTTAAGCCTGGGTGCCTGGGGTTACTTCAGCAGCATAGGGTCAGCAGGACCAGGTTAGATACAAGTGTCTTCTTTTGGCTCTCGTGAGAGGAGAACCCAAGTGATACAGTGGGCTCTTCAGACTAGCAATTAAAATGAAAGTTTGGAACCTGGACTTAAACCAGGATGTAACAGAGCTCTTCAGGGGTGGGAAGGAAACTTTGGGATCTTGGAATTTATAGTGAGGCAATTAGACATGAATGAGTGAGAATGCTGAGTGGCTGGTGTGAGCGTTTTTCCCTCTTGTCTGGGGTGAAGACTAAGTATTAGTAAAGAAAATTAAAAACAACAAAAAAACTAAATAAAAAGCAAGAAGTAAGTTAATTTTTAATTATCTGTTAGTTGTTATAAACTTGACGTGGTGATGGGTGCTTTCTGTAGTGAAGCTGATCTGATTTGCCAGAAGGTTTGATAACTGGTTGTTTTAAGAGCTTGCCTCCTCCTCACTCCCTTAGGGTGGCAGAGTGTTGAAGCCTCATGGGTTCACTCTGCAGACTTGTCTTGCTGTACAGTGTGATGGAGTGCAGTCATCTCTGGTGCTAGTTAGTTTTTGTCAGTTCAGGTGAGTAACTGATAATGATTTATAATAAAAACTTGCCTTTCAAATGTTATGGCTGCCTGGGGAATAAAAAGGTTGTCTATGTACAGTGTAGCTGTGCTGAGGGCAGGAGTTTCTTTTCATCTTTGGAGATCTAAATGTGAGAGGCAGGGAGCTCACCAAGTGGGTGAGTAGCTTGAAATACCAGGTGTATTTATCTGTATAAGCAGTTAAACAGTTTGTGTGGATGTTAAACAGCTTGTGTTGTTATACTGATACCAAAGTGTCTATTAAAGATGGTGCCACAAGTAAATCCTTTAATTCTTTTGTTGGAAAGACTAGATGAAAACCATTTAGATCAAACCAGGTGGTGCATGACTTGACTTTTAACTGTTGGTCTATTTCTGCTCCTCCTTCAAGTAACTGCATGTAGTGCCAGTGCAATGGGTTTCTCCAGGTGCAGTGTGTAGCCTGTGGCCTTGACCAACTGCAATGCACATGGCCTCGGGAATGCTGCCACCATCCCCTGTCCTGCCTAAGCCCGTGTGTGTGTTCACAGAAGCAGAAGTTCAGCTGACTCTTACTTGCATTCTCTGAATTCCAGCTTGCAGAATGGTTTCACGTTAGCAGCTCTGTCCTGGGAGAAGCCCTGCTGAAGTTAACAGGAATACCTGTTGTAGTAGTGTTGCTTGTGAAGAGCTTTGTGATCCTCTGAGTCATAACATATGAAGTAAGAGTGAGCATTTTATAAATGCAGGTATCCAATTTGGTATACTAAGTATAAAATGATGACTTGAGTATTTTTCTTGAAAGGTACTTGCTTCTCATTTTGTATTACTAGTTTGTGATGTGCTTGGCTGCTGCAAGCAGCTGTAATGACCATGTTAATGCTGTGTATCTTCTCGCTGCTTACAGAAGCAGTTCAATGAAAGCAGGACTGTGGTTTCACGCAATCAGTACGCTTCTGCTCTCACCAAAGAGTGACATCCCATTTGGCTTAAATGGTATCAGCAATTTGTCTGAATTTCGTCTTGCATGACTTTTTCTTATGGTTATTAAAGGCAGGCTGTGTTTGGGATATGGCTGCATGTCATCTCTTATCCGCTGTCTGGACATGAGTAGCCACGTTAGCGAGGCTGCCCCTGGGTGCAATGTGGTGTTGTCTGACACAAGGACAAGAGCTGGCCTGAGGCAGTGCATCCCAGGGTACAGATGGAGTGAGTGTCTGCCCACCCCCATGGATGCACCATCATACTTCATTCAGGAATAATATCAAGCATCATTGGAAGGGTGTACATCATGAAGGGTGTATGTCCTTATCCTTCTGGTGACATGCTTTGCTACTACTTAACCTCAGGTTGCACCTGAACAGAGTTATTTTTGCCTGTGAAGTCTAGAAATTCAGAGCTCCCAGGCTGATGAGAGAAGTTGTGATCACACAAGCATTTTCAGGTGGCCTCCTGGTATCATCTGTTTGCATTGTGCGCCCTGCTCCAGCACTGGTCTGCGTGTACCAAATGATTCTAAGTTCTTATGCAAATGTCAGTGAGGTTTCTCCGCGCCACTTCTGTGTCAAGGGTGGGTTTGCTTCAGCAGACTGCTTGTAAGTTATTGACTCCAGTGTTATGTAGCAGTGCTGTGATCAAAGATTGGTTCATGCCTTCATATAGACAGCATTATCTGTTTCTTGCCCTGATAGTCTTGATTCATCTGTAGTGTGGTTTTAGATGCTGACCAAAATAATGTAACTGATGGACATTGTTTTTGGAATATTCTGACTATATAATTGAAGTTAATTTTATTAACACTGCAGATCTCCTCTGTCATGATTACTAGGGAAGTTTCTGGGCTGGCTGCATCAGTTCACTTTCAAGTGAATGTTGCTTTGACTATCAGAAGCTTGGACCAGTCTCTCCTATCATTTTAATGCATCTCTGTGTTATACTTGACCAGAATAACACCTGTAAGTGCTGGAATCGAAAAGGCCTGAGCTGCTGATAAAGTTAATGGGCTGTACTTGAATGACAATCCCAAATAAAGAAAACCTGAATGAATGCACTTCTTGATTTGTGAGCAGTTTAAATAACATAATTACAGAGGCTGGCAAAAGAGCTGGCCTTCCAGGTTTATCTGCTGTCGGACTGTGCTTTAATGTACTTTCTTGAGGCATGCTCTGTCTCTAATTTGTAAAAATAGGATCCTGGTATGACTAGTTCTGTATCTGAGTATTCCTTTGTCTTCTGTTGTCTCACCTCATGATTTTCATATAGTGATTTGGGTTTTTCTACTCTTTCATACATCTGAGGCATAGCTGAGGCTATGCTTGTGCTGCCGCCCCTGAATGCCTGATCTCCTGGACCCTGTTGTGTCCAGGCTATAGGATTGGATGGGATAACACAGCCCAGAGAGGTGGGATGTGCGGCCTTGTTCTGTGGTGAATGAGGCCGACTTGGTTTGCTGCAGTGAGAAGGGCAAGAAACTTTTTGGTTGGGAACTAACTGTGACCCTTCAGTTGGTTTGGAATGTAGGGCTCTGGCTGGGCTTGATCTTTGTGCTGCTTTTAGCTGGGTGCCTGCGTGTTGAAGTTTGCTAGTAAAGAGGATGGAAGCAGAAGTCTTGGTAACTGTGTGGTCTGTAAGATGTAAAAATAAACAAAGCTGCGAAGCTGTACCCTACTTAAAACAGACTGACCTAAATTTCCAGCAATTCTAGCAGTGAGGCAGGCTCTGGGTAGGGATAAAGGCTTATTGGTGACTGGCTTCTGGTCCGTTCATCACTTGACATGGTTGGCAGGCCACTTTTGGAAAACCTCCACTGGTGTCTGGAGTCATTCACTCCCACCCTCCACCTCAAGTTGCACAACCTGGGCTGTGTATTTCTCTTGGTGTGCTTGTGTTGAGAGGGTCCCCTTCTTATGCAAGTCAGCAGTTCAGGGACAGGGAAGTCAAACCAAGAACCACTTCTCAAATTGCTTTTGTTGGGGCGTTGTTGAAAACATGTTTGATGTCCTCTGGCTTGTCCCTGAAGAGATTTCTTTTGAGGGTGCATGTGTCTGTGAAGTCCATTCACATTGTAGTTTAATGTTCTTGCTATCAATTGCAGTTCTCCACTGCTGAATTATTTATTTTACAGAGATATTTTTTTTCTGCTTGTTGTTCATTGACTTTCATGCTTGATTTATTCTTCTGTGCAGTTTAAAACTGGAGCATGGAAGTTCTGACAATATTAACAAATCACATGTATGATCAGTGGTGGCTAAATCAACTTTTTTAATTGGGAAAAGAACATCTGTCTTTCGAAGTACTCACAGTTTCCCAGGTGAAAGGCAGTCTGGAAATGTATGTTATCCTCGGAAGCAGATTGCTTGTCATTTAACAAAACTGGGATGGTCAGACAGCCAGTGGAGTGGTTACCTATGTGCTCTGGAGGCAGTCCTGTAGGTAGCATGAAGGGAGAAGGTGGGAAAAGCATGTTTGTAGATTCCCTTGCTAATGTGGTTTTGTAGCTGAATGCTCTGCTGGCAGAAAGCCTACCTTTGATTAGGAAGCATTCCCCTTGGTGGTTGTTCTAGGTACTGATGGTCTGCCATGTTTTGTTCTTTGTTTTGTGTTTTTGTGTGTGCTTTTTCCTGCAGGGAGATAAGAGGAGGTAAATCGTGTATGCTTTCAGCAGCCTTCTGTTAAACTTGGAATACCATAGTTCAAGCAATTGAACAGATGGATAATGGAGACTGGGGATATATGGTAAGTGTGTATGGAGCCTGTGGAAGTGTGCCCTGTATGGGGCAGCTAGGCTTTTGAGACCTTACAGTGAGAGTTCTTCCAGATCTGTCTTGGGTATAGATCCAGAGCTTCAGTCATGAGGAAAAAAAGCTGTGTATGTTACAATAGCTTACTTACATTCTCTGGAGTGCTTTACCTCATGTGCTGGTTGTGAGATAGCTCAGGTTCATGTTTCCTAGGTGCAATCAGTGAGTACCTAAGTGTTGCCTTAAGCTCACTGTTACTGTTTTCCTAACGCACAAAGGCAGAAAATAGTGCTTCCTGCCTGTGATTTTAAGGACTTTGTAATTTTATTTATGAAGGAAAAATATTTTTCTTTGCAAACCCTGCCTCAAACTAGACAAGTGCATCTCATTTTTCTCCTTTTCTCCTTTTCTAAACATTCTGCTGCCATGCATATGTCTCTTTTCTCTGGCTGGCCTCAGTCCTAGTTGTTAGGGTTGGTGGCCAGATGGGATTTATGTTCCTTTCTCTCTTGCTTCCTCATGTGCTATTTGGAAGCTGATGCAGAGAGGTTGTGCTCTGCCTCCCTCTTCTACATTTACTAATAAATGTCTTTTTAGACTTAAAAGCTGAAAGTTTTTTTTTTTTTTTTTTTTTTTTTTTTGCTTGTTTTAATGATGCCTCTGAACCAGAGCATGGATTATGTTGTTTGTGAGCTCTTGGTCTTGTATCTAAACTTGCACTGTCATCCTGTTTTGAAGGAGAGAAAGAAGCTTAGGACTTGTTCAGCTGATTTTTTTTTTTCTTTCTTTTTTTTTTTTCCTTTTATTTTTTTTTCCCCCTTTTTGTTTGGTCTAGAATGGGACATTGTAAAAGTAAGAAACACTGCTGGGCCGCATTCAGACTAACTTGTTATTCAGGAAATATCTCTCTTCTCATTTCCCCATCTTTAGAATAGGAAAAAACTTTGTTGCCCAAATGCAAAACTTGCTTCTGTGGCAGCAGCTCAGTTGTTAAGATTTCTAAAGCATTCTGGAAATGTGCATTCTGAATGTTAACTATCACCCTGTCTAGTTGCCAGTTGTGCCTTGTTGCTAGGTGGCTTGGATTTGTTTGGGTTTCAACACCGCTTAAAGGCTTCAGATAGAAGTGCGATTCTCTGCAGAGCCTGCAGTTTTTGCCATGTGTGTCAGTGAGGTGACTGAATCTTCTTGTGGTGGCTTGATAAACTCTGCAATTTCTCTCTTTCTAGATGACTGATCCAGTCACGCTAAATGTGGGTGGACACATGTATACGACATCCCTCACAACTCTAACGAGATATCCTGACTCAATGCTTGGGGCCATGTTCAGGGGAGACTTCCCCACTGCCAGGGACTCTCAGGGCAATTACTTTATTGACAGAGATGGACCACTTTTCCGTTATGTTCTTAACTTTTTAAGGACCTCAGAGCTCACTTTGCCCCTGGACTTCAAGGAGTTTGACCTGCTGCGGAAGGAAGCAGACTTCTATCAGATTGAACCACTCATTCAGTGTCTTAATGACCCCAAACCACTGTATCCCGTGGATACCTTTGAGGAGGTGGTGGAGCTGTCCAGCACCCGGAAGCTTTCCAAGTACTCCAACCCAGTGGCTGTAATCATCACACAGCTCACTATCACCACAAAAGTCCATTCATTACTGGAAGGCATTTCAAACCACTTCACAAAGTGGAATAAGCATATGATGGACACCAGGGACTGCCAGGTTTCCTTCACTTTTGGGCCGTGCGATTACCACCAAGAAGTGTCACTCAGAGTCCACCTCATGGAGTACATCACAAAGCAAGGCTTCACAATCAGGAATACCAGAGTTCATCATATGAGTGAACGGGCCAATGAGAACACAGTGGAGCATAACTGGACTTTCTGTAGACTGGCAAGGAAAACAGATGACTGATTCTGGCTCTCCAGGAGCCGCTTCAGTGATTATCAACCTCACTGGACAGTAATCCCAAGAGAATCTGGGTTTTGACTAAAGCAACAATGTGGGCTTTTTTTTATACGACTATTTATTGTTTCTCAGTAAGGACTGGAGGAGTTCCCTTCTCCAGCAGCTCTGTCCTTTTGTCCTGTTCTGAAAAGAAAACCGTGCATGTGCCTGTTCAGTCAAGACACCTTTTTGTTTGAAAGAGGGAGTCCAAAGAATTAGTCCAATAGGGTATTTTATGTCATTAACACAATTCTCTGAGTCAAAAGTGCTAAAATTACCTCTGTTTAAATGGTTTCTAATCCATCTAACATGATGACACTGGGAGCAAGAAACAAAAAAGAATTTAAAATGCAGTTGGGGAAAAGCTGCTATCATGTAGTCTAATTTAGTTTCTAAATAAATAAACAGTATTGTAATATTTTAGGAAAACAAATTCCTCCCTTTTAAAAGTACTTGATAAGTACAGTTTCTTACAGTTATGACAACTGTTTCTTTCTATGCATATAAATCAAGCAACCAAATATTATCTGTAGCCATGGAAATATGATTAGAAATATTTATATTGGATTCTAAATGCAAAATGTCCCTGTGGTAGAATTAATATTTTTAATGCCTGGTGCAATATTATTCCCAAGTGTAATGCCTGCCAGCAAGAAGCTAATAAAAATGTGAAATACAGAATACTATTTTGTATTTTCTTTTTGTCTTCTAGAACTCTTAATACTTCAAAAACTAAAACCAACCATCTCAAAAAACCCATCCAAACCCTGTTTTTCTGTGCTGCAGAGTAGTTCAGATGCTCGGGTAGGGTTCCATTCTCCTCCATTACTGATGCACTTTGTGCCTTTTTATATTGATTCAGCTGCCCTCATTATAGAATAAACTGTGTTTTGAGAATTGCATTATGACTAACAGAAAGATGCCAAGTATTTGTCCTGCCTAAAGGGGTAGGGATAGAGGCAACAAAGAGCCTGAGTAGCTGCTAAGGATTGTTACCTGGTTTGTCAGTGATTTATCTAACGATTTTATAGATAGAATTTTAACTGTGGAGTGCTGCTGATGATGTTCAAGTGAAGGCACTCAGGTTCTGTGTTTTTTACTCAAATTTGTGTAGCCATTTCTTTTCTTGGGCAATTTGTCTTAGTTATTAATAGAACTTCTGGTTATGCTTTAACTTGAATGCTGTTGGGAGCAAGACAGTTGTTATCCATTTGGACAGATGGATCCTGTTCTCCCATGAAGTGCTTGGCTCAAGTGCTCCTTACCACAACAGCTTTGCTCTTTGGGGATGTAAGAGGGGGTCTAGATTTCTGTGTCAGTTGCTGGTTCTTGAGGGCAGGAGCTTTCTATCCCATCTCTCATTCAACAGGCTTGGATTTCTGTCTTATTTTTTGTCTCCCCTTCTTCAAACATCACAGAGTTTCTGACTTGTCATAAGAGGCAATAAGAGCTTTATTCTTCCTATAAGGGGGGGAAGAAAAACTGAACGGATGAAGCTCAGGAAAAGTGGTTGTTTCTTTCCTGCAACACATGGTAAGAAATATCTGTGTTAACTGGCATTGAGTTGTGATCACAAGATGTTCTTTGCAACACTTCATTTACTAGCAAATTAACGACTGGCCTGGATCAGCCTGCCTTTTCCATAATTATGAAGTATAATAATCAGAGAAGCAGTATTTGAAATAATACACTTTATTGGAGCCCAAGATTTACAGGAAGACTGTGTGAGTGGCTCTCTTAACAGCAAAGGAAATTTTGCAGACTGGAGTTGGCATCAGCTTTGTCTGAATCTTCATTAGCCTGGAATACTCCACTGCTGAGCAAGTTGAGAGCTGAGTTAATTATCCAAGCAGATGTACTTTCTAGTATACTTTTTGATCTAAGAGAACAAGTTTTTCCTAGAAGCCAGGGACCATCATTTTAGCTTACTTGGGTTTTTCAGGAAAGGTTGGATTAGTGGGGATTTTCTCAAGGCACTGTACAGCTATAACACACTGAGAAGGAGCTTGTAATGGGGTTTGGTTTTTTTCCCCCCTTTAATCACCATAAAGTGGCTTTAGAAGAAGGATAAGAAAGCCAAATGACATAGTTTTAATGCTATTGGGACACTTCACATTAGAAAACAGCAAACCCTGTTTCAGCCTAGATTGCCTCACAGCAGTGAGCAGTACTCAGCATTGTTTGACTTCTGCCTGGTTAAATGCAAGTGGCTGGCTAAGAATCTTGTTTCATACTTGCTACAACTGGAAGTAAGCAACTGATTATGAATTCTGATTTGTCACTGCTGATGCTTTGTCAATGTACAGCTGCACAAAGACAGGAGGAAGTGTGTGGCCTTCACTTAGATCATGGTCTTCATAATTTGGATAACTTCTTGTGAAGAAGTGGCTTCAAATACCTCTCGTAGGCTGGGTTCATCTGTTCAGAAAGAGAATGTGGAAGGGAATTAGTGGTAATTAAGAAAGAAAAGGGTATATTTTTTATAAAAGAATGATCTCTGAACTACAGAAAGCTAGACCTTTTTAAAAACAAACCCAAGCTACTAGCTGCTTCAGCTAAGTGCAGGATCTTTTTCCCCAAGTATGTGCTGTCCTTCATAACCAGTACACAATAGTCATCCCAAATGGAGCAGCGTACTATTTAACTTCAGAAAATATGCTTGGACATGACTGCTTGCTGAAGGCAAATTCTGTGTTCAGCAGTAGAATTTCAAAGGGTTGCTGATTACCACAGTAAAAATCTCCCTTAAGGCAAAATGGGTTTTCAAATGGAGCAATAGCTAGTTACGTTGTGCAGAATTTTATGCTGCTCCACAATATGGATGAATTAGGAAGTGAAAATAAAGTGCTAAACCATGAAGGATAAAATTGCCTTAACATTTATACTCTTTCTGGTTAAACATATTATTAGAAAAATTAAGTATTGCACTAGTAGAAATACCAGTGAATGGAATATACCCTGTGTTTAGTGGCTTTTGCATAATATGTTGTTCCATAATATGTAAACTATGTAAACAGACTTTTGGTTTAGCTTATTTTGTGCAGTACTACCTCTGTAACTTCAAAAACCAAAACCACATTGGTGGCATACACAGACCAGCTCCCTGCTACAAGCTGCTGTACTCTGGGGGCTGTAAGTCATCGCTGGGTTCAATGGCTGATCTAAGACTATAGGAGGCATAATTGGGGTATCACAGGCCATTGTTCAGAGTGAGATACTAAGAATTAAAAGGTCTTATTCCACTTACTTGTATCTCTATAGCTTTCATTAGAAGAAAAGCAATTTCTGCTCTGGCTAATGCAGAAGTTGCCTGGCTATAATACAGCATCTGTACCTGTGTGTTGGTCGGTGACTTCCGAGCCCACTCGTACAGCCGCTGGTAAACCTGGCCATCGTAACTGCCAAGTGCAGAATTCAAGGTCTTATCTGTGAAGTCAAAGGCATCCACCAGTGGAACAGCATCCTTCCTATGGAGATGAATGTAGTTTGTGTTACTGAAGCAGGTATTGCTTTGTAAGGGAGGAAAATAAGGCAAAGGTAAACTGGAAAGTCAGTTGTTCCAGGTTCCTCAGCTGGAAAAGCTTGTGCCGGTTTTTCCCGTTGCTGAGGCTATGGGGGAAATCCTGCTTGGGGGAAATCCTGCTTGTTTTGATTCCTCAGAGGCATGTTCTACTAATGCCCTAAGTTGTCTCTACTATTGAATAGGTCATGTAATCACCTGGACTCCATTCCTAATTCCCTCATTTAGGACTCAATGTCATGTCAGATGTTTCCTCAACACACTCTGCCGGTTCTTGCTTTTGGTTTTTGCAGGGGTTTTAATAAGTTTTTCTTATGCTGTGTTTGTCCTCCAAACTGGAATAAGGTTGCTGCTAGATTTCATGTGAAGTGCTCCACTGATCTCCAGCCTTCATCTACTCTGAAGTATTTGTCACCTCATCATTGGGTATCAAGGTCTTCTACTGTTTTTGTGTCTATAAGAACAAAGCAACCCTGAACTCCACCAAGGGCCTGTCTAGCCCAGGGGCTGATCTGCCCAGCAGTCAGCAGCAGATAGCTAGAGCATAAAGACAAGTCTGTAATGACAGCTTCTTCTCCTAGGCAGAAGATGGTTTCTTTTACCTCATCCTCCCATCATCCTGGGTGCAGGAAGTTTTGCTGGCTGTATCCCACACCTGAGGCAGAGGGATGCAAAGTGGTTTGCTCAAATGTTGGTATTTGCATCTACCAGTTCCTTTTGGGAAAGGGCTCTTTGGGGGTTTGGGAGAGGCTGGGGTTTTGTTACAGACCAGGAAATGTTTGTATCCTAATTGTAAACAGGTAAATGTGCATTCTTGAATCCTTTTAGCAAGGCGTAACACTGAGAGGTTGCAATGAATTCCAGAGATGACAATGTGTTAGACTTTTGTAAGCCTTACATTAAGCTTATTGCTTAACTTGAATTCTGTGATGAGTTCTGAAAATGTTCTCTCTTCACCTCAGTCCTGCCCAGCTCTGCCTATGGTGTATTCTTGTTTCACTTCAGGTGTCTTAAATAGAATTTTACATACAGTAGCAACTCACTCTCTACACCATAAGTTAATCTGTTCTTAACAAACAGCATCAAGTAGTGAAAGAAGAACCCTTGTCATAAAGCCTTTGTGAGTGTTGTGGTAAGTTAAAACTTTAGTGTATCTCAGAATTCATGTAGTTAGCAATAAATGGTGTCGAGCAGACGCATCTGAACAAGCTGTAGGCAGGATTGTTTGGGTGCAGGTTGCAACTCAGCCATGGCAACAGAGTAGGCTGTATTAGCTGTTGCTTAAGCAGATTTTGCAGTGTCTGATCTGCTGCCTCCTACCAGTGTTGCTCTATGTGTTTGCCTGCTTTTGCTCTACTGCAAATGGTAAAAAGCATTCAGGATTTCTTGGTTTATAATTCAAGATTTCATGTTCCAGAACTTTGGAGACTGCAGAGGAGCTGGGCACTTAGGTCTTGTTTTGCTGTGAAAACAAGCTCCGTAGATGCTTCAATCAATTTCTAGTGCTGCCAGGCAATGAGAATAAAACCCGAATGAGGTGAATTGACTTTGGAGATGTTACCATAGGTACAGCAGCACCATTTATAGATCTATCACAGCTCCTTTCATATTAGAGCAGCTCACCGAATGACAGCCAAGAGGTCTAGATATGATGCAGTTGCCATGTCCATTTGAGCTCCAGATATGTGTCCATCGTGCAAGAAGACTCCTGCATTTGAGAAGATCCCATGTAACGCAAAGAGGTCACAGAGATGTTTCATAATCTTCTGGATGCCACCCTTGGCCTCGAGTCTTTCCACCGTTTCTGCAAAGTTTTTCACTGTGATGTAGTGGCAGTGAGCCTGGAAAACAAATGCAATCAACAGTGAATGCACCTCAAAACACTTAGTAGGCCAAATGACTCAAATGTTCTCGCAAAGAATATAAAACCTTTTCATTTCCCTGGCACTTTCCCAGTCTGTATTCTCTGTTTGCTGGATCACAAGACCTTTTGTATTCATGTCTTACAACTGTAGAGGAGAGACTTGGGGGTGTAAACACTGGTATTTGTAAACTCTAGAAAACCACTTTAGAAATCACACAGGTACTTTAACTATTTCGGATAAATACCCTAAAGAGTTTGTGTGATGGAAACACACATGGGAATGGACTTGTTTTGACC